AGTCAATCACCCTTTGGAGTGCAGGGACGCAGTTCAGGCGAATGTGGAGTGTGGCCACCAGTTGTGACCATCCGTTCAACATCACCCACGACTCCATGGACCACCTCCATGTCCTAAACGCTGCTGCTGGCATTTCTGCCTCACACTTCTCTGGAGCGACCGCTGCTGAGGGCTTCATTTCCGGCATAGGAGTATGACCGTGGCCGCCAGTAGCTAGAGACGTCATCTGAGCCATCAATGCTCTCATGGTCTGCTGCTGGGCGCGCCTGGTGTTCCCCGCTGGTGTAGAGCTGCCCTGGCGTCCCCTTGAGGGCGTCAAGAATCGTGGACGTGTAGGGGCCATGTTAGCGTCCTCGTCAAGGCTGTTATGGCGTGTCGGGCCCCGGCATCCTACCCACTGTGCCATGTGAGAGGTTTGAATAATAAACCAGATTCTTTGCATACTTCACTCTTGCAGCGTCAGACAGTGACTGGCAACCTTGCGCTGCCACAGACAAACTCCCTCTTCCACACATGGGAAAACATATCGTACGATGGTACTCCATCTCACAATCTCACACTTGGGAAAATTTCTACAAGATCATTGAGTTCCAACAGTTTACCATGGTGCTACAAGAAACAACATGCAAGGCAGCCAGAAAGAAGGAATATAAACTTGGGACTAAGCTTGTAGATTACATAGAGGAAATTTCTATTGTGGTGGAAACTACTCCTAGGGCTCTGTCAGTAGTGCCTGTACCGTGTCTGCTGGAGTACAGTGTGTATTGGAGTACCGTGTGTGCTGGAGTACCGTGTGTATTGGAGTACCGTGTATGTTGGAGTACCGTGTGTGCTGGAGTACCGTGTGTGCTGGAGTACAGTGTGTATTGGAGTACCGTGTGTGCTGGAGTACAGTGTGTATTGGAGTACCGTGTGTGCTGGAGTACAGTGTGTATTGGAGTACCGTGTGTGCTGGAGTACTGGAGTACCGTGTGTGCTGTGTGCTGTGTGCTGGAGTAGCGTGTGTTGGAGTACCAGTACCGTGTGTGTGGTGTGTGTTGGAGTACCGTGTGTTGGAGTACCCACCCCGTGTGTGTTGTATTGGAGTACCGTGTGTTTTGGAGTACCGTGTGTGCTGGAGTACCGTGTGTGCTGGAGTACCGTGTGTGTTGGAGTACCGTGTGGAGTACCGTGTGTGTTGTACCGTGTGTGTTGGTGTGTGTGTTGGAGTACCATGTGTGTTGGAGTACCGTGTGTGCTGGAGTACCGTGTGTGTTGGAGTACCGTGTGTGCTGGAGTACCGTGTATGTTGGAGTACCGTGTGTGCTGGAGTGTGCTGGAGTACCGTGTGTGCTGGAGTGTGTGCTGGAGTACCGTGTGCCGTGTGTGGAGTAGTGTGTTGGAGTGTGTGTGCTGGAGTACCGTGTGTGCTGGAGTACCGTGTGTGCTGGAGTACGTGGAGTAGTGTGTGCTGGAGTACCGTGTGTGCTGGAGTACCGTGTGTGCTGGAGTACCGTGTGTGCTGGAGTACCGTGTGTGTTGGAGTACCGTGTGTGTTGGAGTACCGTGTGTGCTGGAGTACCGTGTGTAAGAAATATCAGGTTTATATGTTCCTTTATTTTCTAATAATTTCCTTACTTTGTCCTTTGATTCCTTTTTTCTTACTCCTAATTATTATTCTATTTATTTTTCTTTCTTTAATCCGTCATATTCTGTTCTTTCTTCCATGGAGAGAGAGAGAGAGAGAGAGAGAGAGAGAGAGAGAGAGAGAGAGAGGAGCAGTGGCGGCTCGTCAGTAGGCACTGTGGAACTGCAGCACCCCCTATTTCACCCGATATATATGTATTATATAATATAATATATCATATATGTTTATTTATTTATACTTGTACAAGATATTTAAAACTATTATCAATAATTCTTAAACGTAATGTCAATGGCCATCCTCTAATTCCGAGAAAACAACAAAAATTCCTGTATGTGGAACTGTCTTACTCGACAGTTTCAGTTCCAATAACGGGCGTTTGCATTGTCCCACGCATGCGCGCATGTCCTGGAGGCAAGCGGGGGCGAGCACTGTGGATCACACAGTGCCGATCTGGTTATCAGTGTGGGAGGTAGTGTTTACACATTGTAGTGGACGTCTCCCCTACAACTGCTTACAACTGCGTAGCCACGCCACCACCTGTTACCGTCTTCCCTAGCAACCAAGCGCATCCGCATTCCAATGTCGCCGTATCCTAGCAACCAAGCCAAAAGACCGGCGACTTCTCGGGTTTTCCCAACATGACTCATAGCGGCTGCTGGGTATATAAGCTCTGTCTCTCCATTGAGATTCATTCTGACCATTCTTCTTGAACAAGCAACACCTCCTCCTCAGCCGCTGCCTGGCAGCCCTCGCATCTCCTCGCCTGCCTGGCGGTCCTCGCTCCCGCCAGCGAGCATGGCGACCCACCAGCTGTCCTCTGAGCTTCCTCACCAACCAACTCTCATTCTGCCCATTTTCCTGAACAAGCAACACCTCCTCCAACAAGCTCCTAGCTGTTAACATTTATTCAACCAGGAGGCCAGCAACAGGCAACATCTTCTCTAACGAAGCTCCTGCACATCTACCTCCTTCAACACGCTACTCACCGAACGTCTTCTACTGAGCAGCCCCACCACACGGCACCTCCAGCACCAGACTGTCTATCATATAACTTATATATTATACAAGAAAACCACATTAGAGTTTCCTTCCATCCTGAGTGCTAGACAACATTAATATCTCGATACCCCTACAAATGGTGACCCCCGGAAAAACGCACACACACAGGATGGAGGAGGAACGGATCTCTCTACCGACTTTCAACCATAAAGTCGAGGACTGGTTAGATCATGTGGAAGCAATCCTCATCAGCTCACAAGCTACTGACGAACAAAAGTACGGTGCCCTGCTCTCCTCCTTGCCCACGGAAGTCGCCACGCATGTATCACGGACTATTTCCAACCCTCCAAAAGACAACAAATTCGCCACCCTGCGGGACGCCTTAAAAACGCTTTACCGACGGACCCGCTCCAGTCTCCTGCAGAACCTATCTTCCATCTCCATTGGAAACTCAACTCCGGGACTTCTCTGGGAGGAGATGTGTAGGCTGAACTCCCGGCACGCAGACAGACTTCCCGAACCTATCCTGCGCCACCTTCACGCACAAAAGCTCCCCACACAAGTACGTATCACCCTGTCCGCAGTAGATTACTCGTCGACACCTGAACTTTACGCAACCGCGGCAGATAGAATATTCAATGAATACACTGCTGTGTGCCATGCTGCAGCAAACCACTCAGTGGTCACACCTCCACTTAGCCCCGGTTTCGTCAACCTGATCAACGCTCCTCAGAGAAGTAGCATTCCACCAGACAAGCAAGACATCAGGGACCTGTTGCAAACCTTGAACCGCAGGATGGACACCATTGAACAGCTCTGCTCCTCCATGCCTGCCCCTTCTCCTGTTCCTGCCCCACGCACTGTGTCCTACCAACCCCAACACCCCCGTCCTGCCCCAGACACCGCCGCCAGCCCCCAGCACAGTGTACCTACCTTCTGTTGGTCCCATCAATGTTTTGGCGCTAAAGCTAGACGCTGTGAGGCTCCCTGCAACTACACGGCGAAGCAACATCGACGGAGACTGGTAGGCGCCATAACCTCCGCCACTATCAAGCAGCACATCACACGCCTTACTTCTGACCTTGACCACTTCACTCCTGCTGCCCGTCACGACCTACTACAAACTCTACATCAGGTGGTTTTTGCATTCAAGGCTACTGCCCCACGCCAGCCTTCCCACCGCCCTGAACACATTCATCCCGTACCTCCTCCGCCAGTCTGCCCACCATGGCCACTTAGAGCACCACCTCGCCCACAACATTCCTGCATACCCTGTTTTCATCCTCAGGTACCTACTGCTCCTGATGACCCCGCAGCCGGCCCTAATGACCCAGATACCCCACCGGGCACCCCTGCACCTGCAGCGATAGAAGCACCACATTCCTCGCCAGTACAACCTTCTCCTATCCACAACCCTCCTCCCTCTGCTTCTCCCACAGATCTCGTGCCTCCAGACAGACTCGTCTCCCTCAGCGGCCGACTGATCCACACCCCTGCCCATTTTGTCTCACATGTGAGAAACAACCCTGCCGACAACAAGTCTTTTGCAACGCCAATGCGACAGTATCCTAGCAACCAAGAGAGCTGTTCAGGGGGGCACCTGCTACAGTATCCTAGCAACACAACAGCTCAGTATCCCAGCAACACAGGGGATCGCCACCTGCTACGTCTTCCCTAGCAACGGAGTCAAGAAACCGGAGAGTTCCCACGGGTTTACTTCCGGCTGTTGTGTATATAAGCTCTGTCTCTCCATTGAGATTCATTTTTCTCTAAGTTCCTGAACACGCAACACCTCCTCCAAGCAAGCTCCTCGCTGCCCAGCTCTCATTCAATCTGGAGGCCAGCAACATGCAACATCTCCTCTAACGAAGTTCCTGCACATCTACCTCCTTCAGCACGCTACTCACCGAACGTATCTTCCAAGCAAGCTCCTCACCACACGGCATCTCCAGCACCAGACTGTCTTTCATATAATATATTTTATATAAGAAAACCACCACCTAGAGTTTCCATCCATCCCATCCTGAGTGCTAGACACATAATATCACGTAACCCTACAGGATCATAACTTCGCTTACTGTAGGACAGTGTACTGTATCTGACGATGTTAATTTTTCTACTTCAAATTTCGAATAAGATATTAAATCAATGCAATACGGACATAAGATAGGACTATAAGTGACTTATTAAGAAAGAAACAACTAAAAACTGGGTATAATACAAATGGGTGACGGTGCCAGTGAGACTCCACCATCAGGGCAGATGTTTATCGCTGGCGATCTATCAGAGCCATTTTTTAATATTGTCTGAGTTAACTCGTATGACACTGTCATGCTTCATAATTTGCTCGACTTGGAGTGAAGGAACTACTCACCAGTTGATGTCGTGTGTAGATGTGAGGGTGTCGTGAGGCTGGCACGTGTTCGTTGTGGAGGACGCAACAGGTGTGATCTTCTCAAGTACACAGGTGTTAAAGGGCCACCTGGGAGGTGCCAGCTAGCCAGATAGATAAAAAAAACCCACACAGTTACCTTTGAAGTGAAGGCCGATCACATCCACCCCCCACACCTTATCTCGTCCTATTAAGAGCGTATCCAATTTTTTGCACTCAATAGCAATATCATTTCTCATGTATAAAACTAAACACACAATATGGTTGAATACCTCTCTCGCAAATGTGAATAACAAAGTGTGTGGCCAAGTATATTGCCTCATACTGCTGTACTCACGCAGTTGTGAATAAGTCATCCTCTATATACAGAACTAAACAAAGAATATATTTGAAATACTCTGTAACATTCAATGCCATAATATCCTCACCACTGGGGACTATTATACACATCCTTTGTGGCCTCTACTCTGTAATCCTTTTGCGCTACCGCTCTCAGGATGAGTATGGAGTGCACAATAAACTAGCCGCTGTAAGTGGCAAATAAAAAAAATACGATCTGATTTTAATTAAATGTGGAATGTCCCTGGTATGTGGCCATCTCTTTTTTTATTATCGACAAGTATTACACTAGCAAAAGGTGTATAGAGCAAGGTTATGAACGGTGGTAGTTTACTGAATCAGTTTGACAGTGGACAGTATATTAGTTGGGCAGCTAAATGCAATTTTTCAAGAGAATCATGCAAATGGTGATACAAGCACCAAATTTGGCATGGTAATTATCTAATGGTTACTAGTCAAGTCTGCCTGATTGGCCATTTGAAAATCCAGGATGGCGGCCATTTTTCAAGATGGCCGCGATATTGACCTTCAAAAGTTGATTTTTCTTATAGAAATTGATGTAGTTGGTCAATCTGAGTGAACTTGGTGTCGATATGTATGTTTTCAAGCATGCTCAGGTGATTTTTTATAGTTTTAAGTCCATTGTAACATTTTTATCCACATAGAATAACACTTTTAGTAAAAAAATATAACAAAAAGAACTTACTAAAAAAAAAGTACTCACTATTAGCACTGGTTCCTGTGACTTCTCCTGACAGTACATCTTTGTGCATTTACTGCTGTTCACATATGCAGCTGCAAAGTGCTGTGCAGGAAAGTCCAGAGCGAAAGCATTTGCATCTCTGGTTGCAGTCTTTCTTACAGGAACATTTGGTCAGCTCCTGACAGCATGTCACAATCGGGGGTAGAGTCGTCCAACGTATCTGCCATGCCTCTCCCTTCTGCATCCATCCCCAGTTGACAGGACTGCTGGTTTCTGGATTGGAGATTGTTGCCTGGCCCCAGATGATACCATCCTGGTAGGCAGCCCGCTTTGCATGTTCCTTGAGGGCTGCCTGGGTTGGTGGAATGGAGTCATATGGTCTCTGCTTGCGGGTAAAGAGATTTAGTCTTGCCTCATCTACACCAGTGGCTGCACTAGATCTGTCGTACATGAGGACAACAAAGCTTTCCAGCTTCTGTAGGTCAACATCAGCAACTGTTGTTGGACATTGGCTGAGTTTGGTGATTGTTTCTGAAACTTCATCACAGACAGTCCATGTCTGCCATGCAGATTTCTTTCCTTTCCCACGGAAGCTAGACACAACGTCACAGCCATTGAAAGCAAGAAAGTATATAGGCTCCCACTAGCTTTCTTTGGCCCTATCGCAGAAACTACATCATGAACTGGAATCCATCGATGACTGGCTCCTTGGCCAAAGGCAATCCACATGTTATCAAGACCAAGCTCCTGTAGTGATGGCAGTACAGATACTGCTATGACGACCACGTCAGTGTCATTGGCTTTGATGATGAGGGACTTGCTACCTTCCATTGCTGCATCCCTAGCATGCACAAATATTCGTGTGTCTGCTTCCTCACGACAGCATGGAGCCACAGCTTCTAGGGACTTCTCTGTGTTGCTAATGGCATCTTCTCCCTTTGTCACAACCACCGTGCTTGTCGTCTGTGCTTCACACATTTTCTCCGCGAGAAAATGGAATAGTTCTGTCTTGTTTTTGTCATCTCGCAGAAAGCTTCTCCAGTTTTTGAGAGTCTTACTGGTTCCTGTAACTCTTCTCCTGATCCCCTGTCCTCGTTTCGACCTGGCTTCAGACTTCAGACTTGACTTTTTGTACACATCAAACACTACATCCACCCTATTGTATTTGGCACCATAAAATTCCACTTTGGGCAGGAAGTCTTCTCTGGCATAGGCATCAAAAGTCTTTGAGGTGCGTGGAGGCAGAGCATTGATCAGTGCTGAGCCATCTATGATGATAGCATCTCCATGTGGTTCTCTCTCTGTAGCAATCACTTGTTGCTTTGGTGTCTCTGACCATTCGTGGTATCTTGCTACTGCTGCTTTCCTCTGTAGCAACTGCAGAGGTTCGCCTTTTCTGAGCTCTATTTAACTTTGAGTTGTTGAACAGAAGTCTACAACTCTCATGATAATGTGCCTTGTTTCTCCTCAAGGTCTCCTCTATCCCATCATCTTCAACAAGTCTTGCAGGGTCAAGCTTGAATGGCAGTGCACTGATTGAATGAAATAGAGGAATATTCCTTGCCAAGGTCTTGTAACCGTCATCTCTTTTTTTGGCAGGATTTGCATGTGGAGACTTAAGATCGTCCTTCTTATCCTGTTGACAAAGACAACACTTTGCCCGGTCAGTGAGGAATGATTTGTTGGTAGATTTTGTGTCCATAACTATTTTTGATCTTCAGGGCCGAGGGTTTATCCTTTTACCACCCTGATGAGCACTTTCTTGTATGGGATACAACTAGGTTCATGCCTTTTGCCCTACACCTAGTCCGATCGTTCATCCAGTGTCATTAGTCCCGTGCGATCTGTACACCATCCAGATAACTAAAACCCAGTTATCCTTGGCTCGGCTCTCCCACGCTGGCACATCCTGTCAATTCAGGTGCGGCTGCTTAACTGATTTGGGGTTGGTTAAGCAGCATTTGGGACACTGAGCTGTTGCTGTATGACATGCTTTTTCTTAGCTGACACTGAACCCCATGCTGGGTTGCACAGCAGTGATGTTACCAGTGTGCCCTAGTAGTGCCCGACAATCACTCCCTCACATGCAGAAACCCTCTGCATGCTACCCTCACCTAAATGGAAAAAACATAAAACCAGTACATAAAACCAGTCATAAATAAGACAAATATATATCTGTGAGTATCAGAAATTGAAAACAATCATCTGAGCATGCTTGAAAACATACATATCGACTTTAAGATCATTTAGATTGACAAATTACATCAATTTAAAAAAAAATCATCTTTCGAAGGTCAATTTGGCAGCCATCATGAAAAATGGCCGCCATCTTGGAATTCCAAATAGCCGATCTGGCAGATTTGACAAGTAGCCCGTAGGGTATGATCATGCCAAATTTCATGCTTGTATCACCATTTGCACGATTTTTCCATTATCAGCTCTACTATATACCGTACAGTACATACTGAAGAGTGTGAACTTTTATGTAAAAAAATCAACAGTTAACAAATACATATACAGCGAAAATGTTATAATTGAAAAGATAATAAAATAATTGCCACAATAGTAAAGGAATACTTCCAAGATGTGTTATGCATGTTACGTAATATTTGCCCTGAAGCAAAACTTACAATTTTTTTTTTAATAAAGTGACCAATTCACCATCAATAATTACGATGAAAACAAAAAGTAAATAAATGAACGTATAAACACTCATTATTAACTATGAAAGAGGTGCCAATATCAATAAAAAGTAATAGAAGTCATCATTGAATACAACCATTTAAAATCTCGTCATATTCCAGGTGACAACAGTCTCACTGTGTTAACAATTCCACCCTCTAACACCATTTTGTCTTGAACTAACCTTGGGCATGGTAACGAGGAGGTGACCTGTAACCTGGGACCTGCGAGCTGTGGCACGGTCTGGCCTGATCTCCTCCAGCAGCACCAGCTGGAGCACCTTACCCCGCACTATCACCTGCACATACCACGGCTCCACCTCACATTTCACCAGCGAGGCGTCAAGGTATCTGGCACATATTGTCCTTATCAGTTTGTTTAGATGACACTTAGGCTTGTGATAGGTAAAAGATCTTTGTTATTTAGTGTCTCAATAATCAGCTGAATGATGGATGACATGCATTGTCTCAAAATAAAAGGAAAAAACTAAGCAGCTCCTACCAATTTTTAATGTTCGTAGTACAGTATTCTCGAACTATCATGTATAACATAAATTGTATAAAACATTGAACTTACACTGTTCTTCACCTATCAACGTTTAGGCCAGTCATTGGGAGACGACTAGAAAAAACATTGGGCAAACTCCAAACAAGCTTTAAAAATAGTACAATTACCTGTAAATAAAAATGAAATGAAATCCATAGAGTGTGGCTTACGTTTTTCTCTGGAGAAAATCGTCACATTGACACTATTTGGAAATGATTAGTTATATAATATTACATAATGTGTAATTATGTAACTAAACAACACGAATAAAAATTAAAATCAAACTTACTTCGAAAACATCTTCATTTAGAATGTTTTCAGAATGTCTAAATTATTTCTAAGTGAACTCTTCAATAATACTTTTAACAGCGCTATTCTCTCCGTCACTTTTTTTTCTTTGCGGTTTTGTTTTATTTTTCCGTCATTTTGATTTTCTCCGGCGCTATACGACCTTGGCTGTTGTAGCACTAAGATCGTATTCCTAAACAACCTCTCCGTCAACAATGTATAATATTCTCAGCTACAGTATTCTTCATCACTCATTAACCTTTCATTCACTGTGTGTTCCATATGTTCAGTACACACCAAGTTGATATACTGTACTTGAACTTTCACTGGTGATTCTTTCTACTTTTTATAAATATTTATCATTTCTTTTAATGTATAAAGAATTATATATATCATTCATATTTCTCTTCAAACATTTATGACCCTTTATTGTAGAAGCGTAGGTTATCAAATTCATAAAAAAAAAATTAATAGATAATCCCTCATGCAGACTTTGTACAGATTCACACAACACTGTAGTGTATTCCCTGAAAGTCTGAAGGTTCACTAACCGAAACGTTATTTAATATACTGTAGTGATATTTGATGTAGGTATATTAATATGTAATATGGAATTTGGGTGATATAGGATAAAAATTATTATATTTGTCATGGGAATTAATAATAGTCTTGATAAATCACGTTTTTATGTTTTGTTTAATGCGCATGCGCGATTAGTCATATAGGTCTGCTTCCTGCCGAAAAAGACGGATGGACGCCGTCCCCACACCCAATCACAAGTTCTTGTAGTATATTCCCTAATCAAAGGATTCCTGACGCAGCTCACTTAGACGATAACAGATCAATAAAACCAACACGCGGGAATCAGGGTGAGCTGTGTCTTTTTGCACCATGTCATCGGTTAATGTATTGTAGTGGACTTCTCCCCTACAACTGCCTACAACTGCGTAGCAGCTCACCACCTGCTATCGCATTCCAATGTGCCGCCTTCCCTAGCAACCAACCAGATGTTACCGTATCTTAGCAACGAAACTATTCACCGGCTACTTCTCGGGTTTTCCCAACATGACTCATAGAGGACTGGCGGCTGCTGCCGGGTGTATATAAGCTCTGTCTCTCCATTGAGATTCAGTCTGACCATTCTTCTTGAACAAGCAACACCTCCTCCTCTGCCGCTGCCTGGCGACCCTCGCCTCTCCTCCGCCTACCTGGCGGTCCTCGCTCCCGCCAGCGAGCATGTCCTTCTCTGAGCTTCCTCACCAACCAACTCTCATTCTGCCCATTTTCCTGAACAAGCAACATCTCCTCCAGCAAGCTCCACGCTGTTAACATTTCATTCAACCAGGAATCCAGCAACAGGCAACATCTTCTCTAACGAAGCTCCTGCACATCTACCTCCTTCAACAAGCTACTCACCGCACGTCTCTACCAAGCAGCCCCTCACCACACAGCACCTCCAGCACCAGACTGTCTATCATATAACTTATATATTATACAAGAAAACCACATTAGAGTTTCCTTCCATCCTGAGTGCTAGACAACATTAATATCTCGATACCCTACAATGGTGACCGGGTGACCCCATTGTAGGGGTATAAATAATGTTGTCTAGCACTCAGTGGAAGGGTATATAATAGTCTTTGAATGAAGTGATGACATTGAGAAGATGCTCGCTGCTCAATGGTCAATGAAGATGGTAAATCTGTCTCACTTGGTTGCTAGGCAACGGCACGTTGGAATGTGGTGGCAGGTGGTGGCTGTGGCTAAGCAGTTTGTAGGGGAGACGTCCACTACAGTATCCCTTATAATTAACGATACCTTGAATTGTTTTGTTTTCAACTTCTGCAGTACAATACCTTTATTGTCAAGAAAATTTTCAAAATATAAATAATTCCAAAACTTCCATAATAAGATGGACGCAACTCTATGGGATGACATAAATATTCACGGTGAAGTTGCAAACGCTGTTAATCCACCTGAAGAATACGTCAAAAGACACAACTATATGCTGGTATCTATAAAACATTGTAAGAGACAAGTGGAAGAGAAGCAGAGATTTTAGGAAGAGAACCAGACTCAAGTAACACGTAAGCTACGTAGACTAACATATAAATATTATAATGTTACAAGAAAATTAAATTAAATATATGCCTTATTAGTCAAATGAATGGAGACATTGATATTAAATAAAAGCTTGGCAGAAGTGATCAAATGTAAATGTCGAAACTTTTATGGTGGTTTGATAAAAAGATGGGAGAATGCTGGAGAAATTGATGAGTGAGGTAAGAAAAGCAACCATGTATCGGAAAACACCAGAAGTTATAGATGAAGTCACTGTGAAGTATGGGTTTGGAGAATGTTTGTGTGGCTAAAAGACAAAGTTGATGTGAGTCACGTCAAGGCAACTACACCATTTGATCACTCCTCTACCACATGGGGAGAGACAAATGCAAAACTTACAGAGCTTCCTGGGCCCCTTAAGATCCTGTTCTGTAAATGCCTGGATGAGCAGAAAAGGGTACAAGAAATAAATTGTTAAAGCTACAAGTTCATGGAGTCCCGGTCCAGACATGGTGCATCCAAGAGTGCTAAGAGAGTTGTGCAACGAGCGTGCTGAGCCCCTTAAGATCTTGTTCTATAAATTCCTGGATGAGTAAAAGGTCCCGATGACTGGAAAAATGGCTTATGTGAGTCCTATATTCAAGAAGGGCGATCGTCACTCTACGAATAATTATAGACCAATGAAACTGACCAGCATAGTGTGCAAATTACTAGAGAGCCACCAAACCCACCAGAGTAACTGCCACCTCTGCCACTGTGATATATCATAGGACTAAAAACACTTCCAACAATCTTGCAAGTGGAAATATTTATAACAATATCTCAGATAATTTCCCAGTTTTTGCCAAGTATAAAAACAGCATCAAGATCTGAAAGGTCTAGTAAAGTCACAATAAAATACAGAGACTACTACGCCGACAACATGCTCCTGTTTGAAAACAACTTAATGAATGCTAAGTGGGATCTTGTCTATGCCTCCGACAACCCTAACGTGAGGTGAGGCAACTTCTCTTGCATTTTCAATGCTTGCTTTTATAAATGCTTCCCCCTCAAGACTAAGTTATTAAAAACTGTATCTATCTCCAAACCCTATATCGTAAGTGAAATCAAGGCAATGATAAAAGAAAAACACAAACTCCCAAGAAAATTTGCAAGAAGACCCATAACTTTCGGTGAAGCATACCGAAGTATCAGAAATAGAGTAACTCAAGAGTTAGAAATGCCAGGCGAAGCTATTATACATATAAGCTTCAGTCAGCATCAGGCAACAGTAAGATACTCTTGAGTATCATCAATTCTATTCAGAAAAGGAACACAGCTTTTATGATAAATGATTCAGTTGTAACGGAACCCTCCCTCTTTACCAACCACTTCAATGATTATTTTATTAATGTTGGCAAAAATCTTGCAGAGAGCCTCCCTAATCACCATGAGGAATTTAGAGCCTACCTGCAAAACAGATAACAAAATGAGCTGTTCTTATCCCCTGTCACTGCAGATGAATTACTGACCATCATAAAAATGTCCAAAGATGCAGCAGCAGGTGAAGACAATATACCAATGAGCATCATTAAGAAAATAGCCCACTTATTACTACCTGTTCTCCTACACATTTGTAACTCCTCCTTTACTAGTGGTATCTTTCCGGATAAATTGAAAATTGCCAAAATTCACCCAGCATATAAAAAAAATCTGGGAATAAAGGTCTTTTAAAAAATTACCGCCCCATATCAGTCCTACCATCCTTAAGTAAGATACTGGAGAGACTAGCATGTAGTAGACTTAATTTCTTCTGACGTGTCAATAACATCCTTACAGTTTGGATTTAGAGCTAGAAGGTCAACTGAGAATGCTCTGCTATCCTTTACTAATGACATCTTAAACTCCTTTGATGACATTCAGTTCACAGTCGGAATATTCCTGGACCTCTCTCAAGTCTTTGATACTGTCGACCATACCATCCTCCTGGGGAAAGCTTGAACATTACGGCATTTGGGGCTTATCCAACAGTTGGTTTACCTCATATCTGTCTAACAGGAGGCAGTATGTCTGCTATAATAATCACCAATCTGACTCCTCGCCAATTTTGTATGGCGTCCCTCAAGGTTCCATTCTCGGTCCAGTACTGTTCTTGTTGTACATAAACGATATAGTCAACGCCAGCACACTCGTCAAATACAACTTATTTGCAGACGATAGTAATATCTATCCCAGCAACTCAGATCTCCATTCCTTAATGAGAACTATGAACACTGAATTGACTAAAGGCAGGACCTGGGTAACACGTAATAAACTGGCCTTAAACCTCGAAAAACCCACATACACAATCTTTCACAGAAGGAAAACCTAACCCCAGATTTGGACCCTCTGTACCTTGGTAACACAGCCCTCAGACGTGAACAAAATACTAAATTTCTAGGGGTTAGTGTTGATTAGAAACTTAGCTTGAGAAACCACATACAAGCCATTCACAGTAAAGTCAATAAACAGTGTGGTATCCTGTATCACACTCGTCAATCACTCACTCTTGCAGCAGTGAAAGAAATATATTATGATCTTCTTTACCAACACTTGACACACTGTCACATACTATGGGGGCCTCTTGCTCCACAAAAACACAACCCTTGATCACTGAACAGAAGACAGTTGTGCGGACATTGATCTACTTGAGAAAAAAAATATCACACTAAGGAATAATTTGCGAAATTGAAAATATTAAAATTCGAGGATATTAACACCCACTGCTGTGCCCTATTTGTTTACAAATTTGTCAATCACTTGATTGAAAATAATTATTTCCAGTTCCAGAATAATCAGAGACACAACCTAAGACACCCAGAGCTACTTAGACCACCCCCCCATAATATAGATAGAAATTACCATTGCAGTTATCAAAATGCCGACAAGACATGATACTGACAGCTTTTGTACTCTTGTTCCACCTTAATACAATCCAGATATTAGCTCCACTGTAAAATATGTATATATTCTAATATAAATGAAAAAAATAAAATACAGTACATATAATAAATAAATAACGAGGTGATAACCGTGGTAACATTCTGATATGTTCTTACTACTACATGTTACGTGTACTATTTCAGATCAAACTAAATGTTACATAATACTTCCCGTTGTGGGTCGTTTGACCTGTGCACGGGTGGGCTAATTCCCGTAAAAAAAGAAAAGAAAAAAAGTGCCTTCAAAAGAGCTCAGGCTCTTAACTGGCTCAGCCATGTTAATATTGTTATTGTTATTCACTCTGCATCTGTATTTTTCTGGCTAAATGAACTGTTTAAATATCAATATAGCAATATCAGTATCAACGAAATATCCTTGTAAAGGACTGCCAACAAGGTTTGATTCCGGGACGCTCCTGCTTAACACAATTACTTAAGGAACTGGATGTTTGGACTCAAATTCTGGAACAGGGTGGTAATATCGACAATATATACCTAGATTAAAATGGAAGGGTATTGGATTCTGGAGAGTGCCCTAGCGTGGATCAGAGACTTTCTTCACGATCGCAAGCAGTGTGTGATGAATAATGGCACGAAATCGTCATGTGTACCCGTGACAAGTGGAGTAACACAGGGAAATGTATTGGGCCCGTTGTTGTTTGTTTGTTTCATACATATCATGGCAGAAGCTATACACCCCTTCATACAAATGTTTGCGGACGATGCCAAATTATTCAGTGAAATTAAGAACTAAACAGACTGTAAAGTGCGACAAAAATATCTCTGTCAGCTTTAAGAATGATCGAAAATATGGCTGCTAAGATTCAATGTCACTAGGTGTAAGAGGATGCACCTAGGCCGGACCAACAGTAAGGAGGCGTATCATGTCCCAATGGGATGAAGAAACTGTATTAATAGAGACCGAATGTGAAAAGGACCTGGGTGTGTATGTTGACAATGAACTGAAATTCTTGGGCCATTGTAAGTCTTATAAGGAGGTCGTCTGGAGTACGGTCATCCCCCGCCTGGTCCCTGATATATGCTAGAGACTGTCAATTGATTGGAAATGTCCAAATGAGGGCCACCAGACTGGTGCCAGCACTACGACACCTCAGCTACCCAAAGAGATTAGAACACCTACAACTACAGACAGGAAAGGGATGAATTAATTGAAGTGTATAAACATCTCAGAGGGCACTACTCAGTCAAGTGTACGTACCTGAAGCTGGCGGACGGGTGGGCGTCCGCCAAGGTTGAAAAAAAACACAAGTCCAGATAACTGTGAGGGCAAACTTTTTCGGAGAGAGAAATGTTAACTTTTGGAACAACCTGCCAGAGAGTGTTGTAACGGCACCGAGTGTGAGCTCTTTCAAGACCAACCTTGACCTACACTGGAGCAGGTTCAAATACATTCAGGAGCCAGTACAGTACATGCCCAGTACTTGCCAACATGCGTAACAGAGACGTGACCGACCGCCCAAGTGGCTAACGAGCCGATCAGTGGCGAAGAGGATAAAAGTAAAAGTAAAAGTAAGAGAACCCTAGTGTAGGATTCCAGCTAACACATTGAAAAATACGACAAAAACTCTAACAGGGGAAAAAAAAGAAATAGTCAAGACCGAAGATATGCATACTGTATTGTGAGTACAGTGTAAGATACTGTATACGATTAAGTAAACAAAAAACTCTTCTGAAATGCTTTTCTCTGTTATCTCATTAAATTACCGATTATTGCCGAGTTTCTGCAGATGAAGTAAAAATGGTCGAGAGAGTTCTCTTGTTATCAGTGCGTCGTCTGGAGAAGACGCGAGACTGCTCAAGGACAACATCGTACTAGTGTGGTTACTGGGTGTCTAGGGGAAATAACGTCAAATGAGTTTAATTCTCGGTGGTAAGGAACAGACTGTCTGGAAGCTGTCACAATTGTTGTACTGGGGTCATGCAATTTTCTAAACGAGATATTGAGATTAAACTTTTTGATAGAGTATGTGAGAGGAAGTGGGTGATAATAAAGGTATTAAATGAACAAGGTTTCTGTGTTTAAAAGAGTGGCACCATAAACATAAAAAAATGAAACAATGTATATTAAATATGTTAAACTGCTCTAAATCGACACTCTCTGGAACGCTCCCTCTCCCCTAATATTCAGTGGCTATTATCCATTTATCATTGTAAGACTAAATTATTTGACCTATGTTTACATTGTTTTTTTTTAAGTTCTAATATCAATGTAGCATCGGTATTATATTCATCTTCTTTATTATTGACGCTTTTAGCTTATCAGATACAAGCAACATCTCAGTTCAGTAAAACATAACTACCGAGCTATGTAACAAAGACAGTTTTGTTGTACTTATGTATGAGCAAATCTCTAGTTCCGCTTACCCGTAAAAACTTTAGTGAATAGATAATTAAAAGATAGGCAAAATGAAGATTGATTCTTACTTGTAGGTGTGGACTTCGAGGGTGAAGCAGTTGTTTTCTTCGTCTTCGATAAACTTGAATTCGAGTTTGGCGGCGTTAACGTTGAGTGGTCGACCATCAGCAGTAAAGAGTCGCACCTCCCGCTTCTGTACCTCACAGAAGCACAACACAATTGAACTAGAACTTATTATAACATCTTTCTATCAACCAAGACTGTGATGCCTTATGATGAATTTTATCGAAACTATCTTTATATTGGACAATGTGGAGTGAATTTTTGCTCGTAAAAGTCATGATAGACGATAAATAATAGTCTTAGTCCATAACTACATCAGCGGTTGTTTATCGCAATGCATTCTGGGGAAATCCGAGGTCGATTCACCCATCTTTGTTTACGATCTGCTTGATCTACGAGGGCTTCATCACACAGCCTACATAACCTAGCTGCAGTTATTTTTTAATTAAATGGCCTCCAGCCTCCCCCAATAGCCATACCTTCGCCACCATTTTATTACCTTAATATTAAATATCCTAATACATAAGTAGCTATCCTAGCTGTGTTGAGTTAGTTGAGCCGCAGATCTATGCGGCATTCAGTCAGTGCTGGGCACAGCTAAACGAAAAGTTAGCTTCGCTAACGCTAAACCTTTAAACAGCTAAAAAATTAGTGGAAACTAACGCTAACCGCTAACTTTTATTATATGAATTTAGCTTCGTTTATTTTTTTTGGGCTCTAAAACACTTAAAAACAGACCTCGAGAGCTGAAATTTTCATATGTTGTCTTGTAGCTTAGACATAGAGCTTTCCAAAAAGGTATAGCATGCCAAGATCAGATGATGATCAAGGTGTACACAAATAATTAAATGAACAAATGAAATTAAACATTAGTTTACATTCAAGTTTCAACATACACTTTATAATCTTTATTTACTGTACGAAAAGACATTAAGTATTAAACGAATCCAAAACTATAGTACTGTATAGCATAGGTAGCAAATAGCATCATGCCAAGATCAGATGATGATCAACTTATCAAGGTGTACACTACACAATTTCGCAAATAATTAATTTGCATTCTCATACAACCTATCGGCCTTATTCATTATTCATGTAAATATGCAATACCAACCGCATACACATTATACCAGTGCATTTTTATAGAACTTATTGTTGGTCTTAGTCATGTAAATAAACAGAAAACTCTAAACTTTAATGAAAAGTAAGTTTTTAGAAAATTTTGTTTGGCGCACACCTTGGATGACATCCTGGTTATGAACTTATGCGGTACTTAGCATAACCAAATATATTGACACAAGAAAATCCCAATTAAATTAACAAATAAATGAGAAATGAAATTAAACTGAAGTGGATTCCTCCCCTACAAACGCTTGTCGCTGAGTAGCCGACCCCGCGAATTCCCCAGTGTATGCCTCGTGGTCTAGGTCAACCAGCGCCGCCTTACATGACGGAGGTCAACTATTAAGCCACGCCTACCTCCGCTATATAAGACCTGACCTCGTGGTGACCTGTCTCTTTTCTACCTACACCAACCAGCAAGCAACACCTCCTCCTCTTCCTCCTGCCTGGCGGCCCTCGCTCCCGTCAGCGAGCATGGCGACCCACAAGCTGGTCCTCCTCTGAGCATCCTCACCAACCAGCTCTCTCTACTCAACGCTTGTAACCATGCTGCCTTCCCAGCACCAAGCTGCACTGTACATCCAATACAATATGTATACAGAGAGCACATTGTGAGTTTCCTTTCTCCATCCCATCCTGAGTGTGAACCAAAATATACGTACCCCACAATACATTAGTTTACAATTAAATTCGACAAATCATGTGTTGTCACGTTTACACATACTAACACTCAGTCAGCCAAGCGTGCCTGACTGGCTGTTGGAGACATGCATCGCGGCGTCACACGCTTACAACAGACAGGAACAGACATGTATAAATTTTGTTAGCGGATTTGAAGTTAGCGGAACTAAATTTAGTGGAAGCTAATTGGACCTCTAATGGTTTCCAAAGTTAGCGAAAACGCTAATCCGCTAACGAGAAAGTTAGCTTCGCTCATTAGAGGTTAGCGGATTAGCGGAACCGTGCCCACCATTGCATTCAGTGACTGTTGCCTCATAGTCAATATCTGCAACTGTTGTCGGCTTTGGGGCTGATGCTCTCGTTCCCTTGAGGCAGAGCAAAGCCGAACTAAGGAGAGAGAAGGACAGTCGACATCTCATCCAGGCTGTAACATAACTTTTGGGCTGCTGATTCTGTTCGGATATCACCTCCGCGAGTCTGGCGTAGAAGCATCTTGCACTTGGACCCATCCCACCAGAGGTTGTGAACACTAGAGGAGTGAAGCTGCCTTGATCAACGTTCTAAATTCTCTCCCCATATGCCCTCCTGTGTGCAGCATCGAGATCTAAGTTACGGTGACATGCGGCCATGGGATAAAAAATCCTGATGTCGAAGAATGCTCGCTGTTCCGGCGTCCAGAATCCTCGAACACTGACGTCAACACGGGCTTCGTTGGATGTGTTTGAAGTCCTATGTTGGAAAATCTCACCGTCCAATGGAAGGAGGGTCGGTTCTACCCTGACATCACGGCAGATTTCTTTCAACATATTTGCTGTGAGAGCCCTTACTTCGTCATGCCTCATGCATATGAAGCCCCCTTTCTTGCACACCATGGCGTGATCGACGTCATAGGAAGAGCCACACACGCATTGGGAGGGCAAACCTTCTACTGGCCTACCGTACCTTAGAGCATTGGCATCTGTAAATTCTTGTTTACTGAGACTGAAACCATTTGCCCTTATCGGTAACGTAGTTAACCAGTTCGAGGCGCCCACCTCCTGTGATATAGCTACTATTTTTTCAAATTCTCTGGTACTTGCAGCAACAGTTGCTGCAACTTATCACTTTGGCCGTGCTGTCGTTCTGTCGTAATGGACCTTCGAATCTTGTTTACTTCACTGGTATCCACCTCCCCTGTTGCATTCTGAGCAATTATGTGGTCCGAGAGGGCTGCCGTGAGCTTAACTGAATTTTGATGTTTGGTGGCAGCAATCTCCTCTGGATTGGTCAATCCCATTCCTCCCAGTCTCGGTGGTAGTGCAAGGAGTGATCTTTCTGCTGGGGTTAAGTGAGGGTGTTTCACTAATTTGGGAATGAAATTGACGCTGATAGCTTCTTCCAGAGGGTGGAGGAGGGGTCCGATATCAGGGATAGTGCGCATCAGGTAGTTCCAGCGATGCTTGACTCCATGGGTGAATGCCGCAAAACCTGCATGTGGCTCTGTGTAAGCAATCTCAGAGAAGAGTTTGGATTTCCCTAACCCACTCACTCACCTTTCCCGTTACGTACTCGCTCTTGAAGTCCGTCCTGCCGATTATTGCGCCTAGGTGTCTTTGGCCATCCTTTGTTATTTTGACCTCACTTCCACAGAACACCTCCATTGCCCGTTCATAATGTTCTGGCTTCACAATGAGGAAGGACTTGCTGGCGTTTGGGTGGTACCCTATTTGTGGGCCTCGTGATGTAACCAGGTCCCACCACTTTTTTATGTCCTCCACTTTTCCTGCTCCTGTAAGGTCATCAACGTACGCCACTTGCTTGACCTCAATTTTTTTCAAATGTTATTGTGTGTTGGAGCACTGATAGGTCTATTGCGTACATTGCCATTGCAACAGGGTCCCCCTGTGTTGTTCCCTCGGTTGTCTGTATGATGGTATCCCCTCTTAGAGCTTCGTTGTTTACTATATAGAGGTCTGATGGATTCCTATAGGACTTTTCAGCATACATTGCAAAGCTTGGACAATTGATCTTGATGTTGTGCATTGTGGCCTTGCGGTTAAGTATGTTGAATGCGTTTGAAGCGTCCACCAGGAGAACGGCCTCACAATCACGCTGCTCAAAATTCGTTCTCATGGCGTGAATGGTAGCTTCACCTCCAGCCTGGTGGCCACCACAAACTTACAGGTTCCCTGCTGCTTCCCTGACATCATCCTTTACCACCTCTATTATGCATTTTCCGATGATCCGCCTCAGCACTTCCCCCACCCCTATAAGCCTATATCCTGGATTCTTATCCAGGGGAATGAGGCGGCAGGCCGTCAGAGCATGAAGGTATTGGCAGCACGAGGAAGCCAGCTTTCTTGCAAGGACGGCAATGGCAGTGCAGAGATCACTTGCTATGGGGCCAAACTTGTTAGTGCTGAAGATGAATCTCCAACCGTTTGCATCCAGACCTGAAGGGCCGGCACCTCCTCGAATCCTCAGTGCCTCTTTCCACACCATCCCTCCTGTTATTTTCACAAACAGGACAGCATTTGGTGGGATATAGTCACCCTAGAACCTGATGCCTTCATCTTCACTTGCAGGGGGATGTTTTTCTTTCAGTTGTTTTAATGTCTCTCTGTTTATTGGCAGAACCCCACCGGAGGATTCCTCTGTGAGAGATCTTCCCGCCAAAGACACTTTTCCCACAGGCATTTTGTTTCCAAACATTCTTGCAACGTCATCGGTGTTTTGCTTTCCATCACCTATAAATTTTAGTCTCTCCTGCAGTGTTCTTGCTTCACACAGGAGATCATCAAGGGCCCCATTTTGCCACATTGTCAATCTTCTCTCCATTGCTGCCACATTTTCTTTGTGCTTAGTCTTTGTGTGTGTCCTCTGACAGAATAGATGTGGTATTATTGCCACTATTTTAAAAGCTAAAGGGGCAAGGAAGCAGTCCTGATTGTACTGGGTTATGAGGCTAGTCATCTCCCGAATCATTTCTTTGGTGGCCGCACACTTGGGTGGTTCAAACAGGTTAGCTGGCAACCACCTGACAATTTCTAAGTAAGTTTCTTTCACCCATATGTCCACATTTTCCATACACATGCCATTCCACTGTGATGGCTGTCTCTCATTCACCTCATGGACATCTGCTACTATTGGAGCAGCGTTTATTAGTACTACATTTTCAGGTTGAGTAGACTCACTGCTATCATTTAGGATAACATCGGGCGGTTGGGTCCCGGCGATATCCACTGTGGCCTCCTGTGTCGGCTCCCTGCCATATGGGTTTCGACAATTGTTTCCCTTTTTGCAAGCCACACATGGTCGGTTGTTTCTCTCACATTCGAATCCTGGCGG